ATATATATATATATATATATATATAGACATACCATATGTTTTGTGTTCACAACCGGAATATACCGCATGTCAATGTAACGTGACGATACATAAACTCGATCATTACCCTGAACACGTGACCTCAGAATGAATGAAGAACAGATGACACAGCTGCATACGTCCCGTCAAGAGGCTGCGGAGGCCGGCATCGAGTGTAATATGGGATACCTCTATCAGCAATACTACCGATGGCACCCTGAGTACTCTCGCAATCATTCTCTGACAGGTACTCAAATGTGATATCTCCACCACTTGCGACCTCCTACACTCTTTGGTTCTGATCGAGTGATTATGGCGTGCGTTTTTGGAGCCGTCAGTCCTACTTGCCTTGTCTTGTTGTTGATTGCGTGTCAAGAAATTCGCAAACAAGAATACGAGTACACCATTTTTAAATAGGGAGTTAGGCACGATAATATGGCGTGCAGATATATGGTTAAAATGACCATTATTCGAATCATTCGTAAAATGTGATCAAGCAAGCTGAAAATTGTATGCTATATTTCATATATTTGCTCATTCAACTAATTGCTGATTTACACCTACCACTTCTTATTACTCACAGCCTTTTCGAAACAGTCTAGTCGTGCCGTGGGTCAAATAGCCACGAGACAATATAGTGACAGCGAGTTTAAATGCTCTCGAAAGTGTGATGTAAACGAAGAGTGTGCTGCGTGGAACTATCGGCAGCAAGATAAGGAGTGTTTTTTGCTCAAGGTCCTGGAAAATGAAGGGTTCGTGAATGATAAACGGTACAGTACGGGGATACCAGTCGAGTGCATAAACCAGAGGTATCAACTAGATCAGGTCACTTGAAGGCCAACCACCGCTGCTTAACAAGGTCGACTATACGGATATACTGTGATGCTTGCAGATAGTTGGTGCCATGGCCCAATTTAAAGCAAAGCGAGAGTTTCAAAGTGCTGGCGATCGTCGAAAGTGAAGGTAAAATATTCACCCGCATTATTCTGTGGGAATGGCAGTACTGGATTAGTTTCTTGACATACCGGTTGCCGATTGTAAGAAACAAGCGTTATGATGCTGTTGTTACAACTACCCTGGGCATCAAGTATTGCACAAGACTCGATACATTTGGCACACCAATACTGGTTAAAAGTCTCAGACTGACTTGATATTAGCACGCCTCGGTTGCGCACAATGATACATCCGCCGCCACGATCAGTAGCCTTGTCGTAGTATAGAGAAATCTACTGCGCCTTAAATGCCTCTACAACCCTACCACACACCGAGCAATGCAATCGGCCGGTGCCTCGGGAATTAGGAGTGTGAGGATGTTTTATCAAAAAGTCCATGTCAACTTATGGTTATTGGTTAGAAAGGGTAGGAGTGAACCGAACGTGGATTGATCTAGTTGTCTTTAGATGACGAGATTACCCCAACACTCGTTGTTTAGAGTGAGGCCATGTACATGGTCTGCACAAGGTTGATGAGCAGTGAATGCAATACAGGGATGCCACAGACTGCAGGCTGAGACATCAAAGCTGAATAGAGCGTGCATGGATCATAACTATAGTGCTCGCTGAAATTTCCCAACGAAAGGGCACGTTTAAGTTCCGAGACATCCGTAACGTGGGTTAGCTGCTTCTCCAAATGACATCCCATCCACATGGGCTTGCCACTTTCTTTCTCGGGATTGATGCTGGCAAACCGTTCTGTGCTTTGAGCAGCGAAGAACGCACAGACACTGCATGCAATTACACGATCCATTTTCTGGAATGAAAATATCGACCTAACATCTGCTTCAGCTCTGATAAACCCTGTCCATCCCTATTGTATCGACACCATCTAGTTTGCGTATCGATTTCCATGTGGTGAGACTTTCAGGTTCTCAGAGTGTTTTTTTCCTAGACAAACCTTTAGAACATGAAGTTTGGATCCGGGGAAGAAAGCCTTCGATGGACTCTCTAGCGAGAATTCTAGGGAGTATGAAAATACGACGGTCACGGTTTTCACCATATTGCCCGCCCAGAACTAAGTGCGTAATTGTATTGCATATGCAAATATCCAAAGGCATATACATCACTCCCTGAGTATCTACTATCAGAACTTCAAAACGAATACGGTGTAGACGACTTCATTGCCCTCAAATCGCCTCCGCACTTCAAACTCATACAAAAATAGTGCGTTTAAAACAGGAAGCACGTACGCGTACACGTACACATACACACCCCACCCCCCCCAACCCCAAATTTGCATGTCAATATCATTGTAATTGTGATGGTCAAAAGCGAAAGATTCGTGTATAATCGCGTCGTTCCCAATGAAACTAAGTATCATTTTTAATTGACACTCCAAATAATCGGAAGAGGCACCGATTTTCCCAACTGCAACAAATTTCTATGGTCCCTTACTATCAGATTCGAGCAGATTCAAAAGACTGCTGTTCAACGGTCCTATAAACTGGGTTGTAATATATATCAATCAAAAAGACAACTACTCCTCGGCAGCAACTTTGAAAACTCTTCTAACATCTTTTACAATTTTATTTTTTCTCTACGAAGATGCGGAAGAAATCTTCTTTCATTTTCTTGTCTCCTTTTCCCATCTCAAGCACACCTCTGATCACCACAGCGTTCTTCGTATCAAAACCACGTTTTTCTAAGTGCTCGGTCATGCTGACCTCAGTGAACACAGTATGGAAATGCCCTCCATCAGACACGTGCGCTGCGTTATCCTCACCCGTTTGAATCCCGGATTCAAACTCAGATATAACCAAGTGGCCACCCACCTTCACGCATCGTGCTATGGAGTTAATGACTTTGTCCACATTTCCCTCGAATACATGACCCAGCACAAAAGTGCTCGTCACCACGTCGAACGTTCCGTTTTCATTATGCTCGGCAATACCGGCATCCGAGCCATCGATACCCTTCAACAGCCTTGCAGACAAGACATCTTTGTACTTCTCGTTCTCATTGATGTGCTTCTGGAATATCTCCACCATTTTCTCTTCCACATCTAGTCCCTTGGAAGGGCCAATCAAACCATCGTCTGCTAGTAGTCGCAGCATAAGCCCTGTCCCGCACCCGTAGTCCAAAAGCTTGACACCTTTCGTGAACCAGGGCTGTGAGGTCAATTTCGCGACAATCGCTTTCGTTGCTTCACTGTGTATTGTTTCGAAGAGGTGAGCGTAGGGAGGATGATACCGGTCAGACTGCTGGAGATACTGCACATTTGTTTAAAGAAGACTCGAAATGCTGGTAAATAGACGCCACAAACACATAGCACATATCTAGTCACCAAACAATACATATGGAAAGGCAACTCAATCTGTCACGCCCACGCACACAGGTAGATGAATTTTGGCAAGCTGGAATCATTTTGAGAGCCATGAATCAAATTCCAATCCCGGCGAGTATGGCATAGAGCACTATCAAATACGACAGCGGACGATAGACTAGACAAACTCAATAGGATGTCTACAATGTGAAACGGCCGTTGCAACCTGAAGGTGCCATTGAGATATTTGAGAACAAATTGCGTGCGAGCACGGAGCTTGAGGGAACACACATAAATAAACGAGAGATATATTAATATACCAAACAGAAAGTGATATATTAAATATATGATTAAAAAACCGGCACTAAGATACTTAGAAATGTGAACATAGTCAATATAAATATGCTCTAAAAAGTTCAAAACCTCAGTCCGCGAGAAAACCATAAAGCCCGAACAAGTGTGACAGGACTATATTAACAATAATTGAGAGTAAATAAGGAAAATTGCTTTGCAACCACAAAGAAAGACAATAAATATATGAAAATATATGTATATAAAACACACACACACACACACACATATATATACAAACACGCATATATATATATATATATATATAGATATATATAATTGCGTATATATATATATATAGATACGATTATATATATATAAACATATGCAAATATATTGATATATGCGCATATATATATATACGCATACATATAAATATATATATACATAGGTATACATATACGTATATGTATATATATCTAAATACAAAGGTATATGTATATATACGCGTTAATAGTTTATATATATACATAGATATATATCTAAATACATAAATATATGTATATATACGCGTTAATAGTTTATGTATATATATATATATATATACATATACATATACATATACGTATATATATATATATATGTATATATATATATATATACATAGATATATATACATATACATATATATATATATGTTATATATATATATATATATTTATAACCTATACAGGTACATATA